TATTTTTTAAAGTATATTTATGATTTTTTAAAATTGGAATTATGCCAATTATTTAAGTTTCGATTGTATGCAAGAATATTATATTAGTTATACCTTATACATTTTTTGGAATTTCTCTAAATATGCCTAATTACTTGTGTAATTAAGCCTGGAGCATAATTCCTAGAGTATTTTCATATATAAGTTAAGTTATCTGAGAAATTACCTAAGTTTTTTCATCTAGTACGAATAGAAATGATGTCTTTTAGTTATTTAAGTTATTAAGCAGTTAATGTTAATTACTTAACAGCTTGAACTACAAATTATAATTACTTAAGTAATTGAGCATTCAATTTTAATATAACTAAAGTAACTGTCGAGTCGAAATTTGATTATCTAAATAATTAATGGCTAAATGCTTAAATACTTAAGTAATTAAATGGCATATATATATATCCATTTATATACTTCTATCTGGCCCTGTTCAGCTCTTTGAACATAGTTTAACCCCAGCTTGCATCAATTTTCACGACACTCACGAACAAAGAAAGAAAGGCACGACTCACGCCCATCTCTAACAATGTTGTCGATGGCATAAGAATCTAGTGCAAATATGGGCGATTATGTTTGCTTACCTTGCTCACCTTGCGACATTTCCTTCAGCTGCTTGAGCATATAAAACCGATAGGCAATCATAATCGACTGCAATTGCAATGTCAAATATAATATGAGCAATTAATAATAATCATAATAACGGTAATCACATTAAGATATTCACTTACGCGTATGATGAACAGGCAGAAGCAAACGACGGCCAATATAATCAGCAGACTCGATGAATCCATTTTTAATGCACTTTCTTAATTGTAAGCAATTATTTACGTATTTGAATTTCGATTGTTTCTTTCAAAGATTTGCAGTAGCTTGATGATTCACAGTAAGCTCTAGCGCATGTTTCACGATAAGATATGAATATGGATACGCTGATATATATAAATATAGATCTACATCTACATATATGTACATATATATGTATGTATATATAGGTTTCTATTTGTTTATTTGCGTTGTATTTGATTACATTTTAATCAGTATTTCAAGAATTATATATCACCACAAATCGATTCGCTAGCTAGCCCCGCTCTCTTTCTCTTTCTTGCACTCACTTTCTATCTATCACTCTCGCTCGCTCACTCACTCTTTAATTGCGTGGGCGCTCGCTTAATTATGTGAGGACAACTCGATTTGGCCTGCGGATTGCGAATGGATTTAGCTGCCTGTTGCGTGCTAATAAAAATAATTAATATTATTAAGCTTTTCTATGCTCTGCCAACGGGTATTTTCGTTTTTATCAACAATCTCAGATAACGGCACATTTGTAGAAGAATTATATAAGTTTAGTTAGTTCCCTTCGTTTTTCATTTTTTTCAAAAGCTGCTTTGTTTTTCAATACATTTTTATTCAATTTGTTATTTAGCTGTTTTCTGATGCTGTTTAGCTATAGCTAAAATCTTTTTCTGGAGTAGAAGCCATGATCTTAACAAATGAACAACACCGTATATAAATAGATCAACTACATATAATCAATTCTAAGTGGAAATTTTATAGATCAACTTTCTGTCTATAAAGCTATTTTTAGAATGTGCTCTTATCACTCATTGTTTTGCTCTTTAAATGTGACTTAAGACTTAGTATGCCATACTGTTCTAGTTATTAGCAAATCAGAAGCTATATATTCCAGTCTAACTTTTCAATTTCAATATTCGGTATGCCTCTTTAGGGAAACTTCTGCAGAGCTCCTTCTTCTATACTAATTAGCTCTCCTCATTGCTACTTTTCCCTCATAATAGCATAGCAATAGCCCTTCTTAGGGTATTTAGTAGTTCGTTCAAGCCTTTGCTCACTTTCAATTCTTCTTCTTCTTCTGYATGGCATTGCCTTATCTCGATTTTTGCTCTGGCGGCCTTCTCTTCACTTCAATACGCAGATTGCATTCCGCTTTTTGCCTGTTTATGGCTTTTTGGGTTATCGCTGTGCAAAGCCGCCAGCAGGCGAGACGTGTTGTCTGTTTGGCCACGCCCACCAACCCACCCCCCTACTCACAGGTGTATGGTGAATTGCGTAGACATAGCAGCCAGCAGGCAGCAGAGGCAGCAGTTGCAGTCGTTAACCGTTAATTAAAGTGAATGGCCGCTCTGGCTTTCTGGCCGAGATGCACCTTGACCTGGCCCAAAGCCATCAGCACACACACACACACATAGCCATACACCCACACACACACCGACACACACAGCCTCGCATATGATTATCGCTCTTTTGTGCATTGCGCTGGCTGAAATTTTCGCCGTGTTGCGGCTCATTTGCATAACGCCGCGGCTCGAACATAAATTATGGCAGGTGAGAACGAGCACCTGGGCGCACGAAAAAAACAATCCCTATGTTCTTGTTGTTTCATTTTTCTTATTATTGCATTATGCAGCGTGTGTGTTGCTGTTGGTTGCTGGTCTTTATGTGTGTGTGCTTCTGTTTGTGTGTGTGTGGGAATGTGTCTGTGTGTGTGTGTCTGGCCTTCACTGTGTTTGTTCTCTTTTGGTTTGTGCTTTTTCACTTTGCGTCTAGCATTAAGACAAATCGTTTTAGACTCCTAAATTATGCTAGAAACAAATAGACTGGAAAAAAAATGTGGAAAAACTGAAAAGAAAACCATTTATTAAAAAAACAAAAATTGTAGATGAACTCTGATTAAACAGGTTTTTAAGAAAAATTAAAATATGCATGGTAAAGAATAGAATATCTTTATCTCGATTTGATAAGCCAACTGGAAACAGAAAATATCTAGGTAAAAAGTCGTAAGGCACTTATAAATATTAGTCTATCTGGAACTGAGGACTTACCTTAGTTTAAAACATATATTTTTTTATTTTTATTTTTTTTTTTTTTAATAAAACTCAATAATCATTGATATTCCCAACATATATATTTCGATTTAAAATCAATAAATTATATTATAAAGAAAAAGCACCAGACACGAAAAAGTCAAAGTTTTTTCATATTTCATACAACAATTCGAATCGCTCACAATAAATATATAGTAAATATGTATATGTGACTAACACCAATTTCATTTATTTATCAATTAATACTTTTGTTTTTTTTTTTGTTTTACTATAATACATTCTAGATTACTAAATTTGTTATTATTTAAACTTGGCACAGTATTATGGAATAAACAAATAAACGAGAATTAAATAAAGGAATATATATTTTAAATATAGTAATATATGTATGTATATATTATTATATAAGTCCGATTATAGTTTTGCAACAATTTCTATTTGATTTCAGTTTTCATTTATAACTATGTGTGTATTTTGGTTTGCATTTTCTTTTAAATAAATAAAGCTTTGCTCTTCGCCTGTTGCCCAACATTTAAATAAAATTTACCCACACCCACACAACTTGAGTGTGTGTGTGTTTGTTTGCTATTTGCATGAAATTAACATGCCTCAATTCAATTGAAATTTAATTAGCTGACATTTTCCTTTACGTTCTGTATCCCTATATATGTATGTATGTATGTGTGTACGTATGCGTATATATTTTTATTTTCCATTGATTTATTCGCTCGTCTAACTGCAAAAGAGAAATTGGAAAAAATATATATTATTTGTTTACTCAATTGCAGCGTAGCATAAATATCGTGCGCATTGCATCAACATTTGTTTTTTTTTTCATATAAATAGTTAAATTTACGCAAAGAACACGAGCCGCATGTATTTACAGAGAGGAAGTGGGAGTGAGAGGCAATTCGTATCAAATAATTTCCCTTAAAGGAATTTCCCTTTGATATGATCTGCCACAGATTTACATACATAGGTATGCATATTTGCATATTTAAATTCAATGCGCTATGCAATTTTTAAAAATTACTGCTAGATATATTTAGCCCGCTGCTCGCATTGTTTCTGGATTTTGTGGTACATTTTAATAATATTTACAAATACAAATAGATTATTTGCTTCCATGAGAGCAAACAGCATTGCATAAATATTATATATATTGTATAAATTTGCTTTTGGTTCGTTTTTTTAGACTTTCATAAAAAATGAAATGTCAAAGGTATTTTTTCTGTTTGGCTGACGCATAGTTAGTGGGAATGAGAGGCAGCTCTTGGCATAAATAAATTCCCCCCTTTCAAATAATTCCATTTTTGCCTTTGCCCAAATATGCAGAGCATATTTTAATGCTAAGCCTAAAAGTAAGCTAACAAAATTTTTAATTCCCTTTGATTTCGCATTGTTTGCGATTTCTGTGTGACATTTTAATGAATTTAAATGCGAATGCTGTTGTCTTGTTAATAGTTGCGTGCTGCTGCTATGTGGTTGTTGTTGTTGTTCCTAAGCTAACAATGTTAACTAAAATGTCAAACATATAAGACCTTAATCAAATATGCACACACACACACTCGCACTCACACTCACATAGTTTGTAATGTAAACTGTAGAGCAAATTGTGAAAGAAACACAAGACACAAATCAATTTGCATGAGGATTGAAACTTTGTAACTTGCCGCAGCCGAAACTTTGTTTAGAGTGTGTGTGGGAGTGTGTTAATGTGTGTGTGTGTCTAGCAATGTCTTAAATTTGAAATTCAAATTTATGAAATTGCTGCAGTTGAGGAGCACACACCCACACATACAGGCACACATGTATAAAAACTAATATATGTATGGGCATACCTCTCTCACACAGGCACACACACACACACTTGCTAATATATGTATGGGCATTTCTCTCTTCAACTTCCCCTTTCCCTCTTTCGCACACACACATACACAAATTTGTGGCTGATGCCTTTACAATTAGATGGCATAGCATGCTTTTTCGGGCGCCCCGCCCCCCACACACACACACATGTCATAAAAACCTTTTTATGTGGTGCAAATTTTATGAATAGTCTGGCAACTCCAGACCCCCACCCAGCCCCCCTCTTCGACTTTGTGTCCATTTGCTTGTTGTAAGTCGTTCAGCTGGAATCAAGTTGTTGGCACAATTAGTGTGGGCGTGGCGGCTGCTGTTGTCTGCCGTCTGCATGGGCGTTGTTGTTGGGGATGGGCGTGCAGGCGTGTCTGTTGCGGCTTTCATTATCGGGTACGTGCCTCATTTTGCCCATGAATAAAGTTAAGTAAAATTAATTGCATAGCCGCTGGCACCAAAAGTGTGCGAAATGTTGCCGCTTTTGTTTGCTTACTTTTTTGATAACAACAACATCAACAACAACCAAAACAATTGTAGCAACAACAACAACAATAATTATCACAACAGCAGCAGCAACTCGAGGAAAGTTTTTGAATAATTTCATTAATGTATTTGGTTAAAATTTTTCGGCGCGTGAGATATTTGCAAGTAATTTTCATACACACACACACACGCGCGCGAAATTATAGCATCTGCTTGTTATAATTTATAATTAGCTCAACAAAAATATGAACAGAAAAAATAAATATAATTTTTGTTTATTTTGGGCAACAAAACAATCAAAGCCAGGAGCAGCGCTACCTTAGCTGGTTTTAAGCGGAGCTTAATAGAGTTATTTGTTTTTTTGGGCAGATTTCAGAGAAATTTTAATAAAAACCGTAAACAACAAAAACATTTTGAAAGTTTGTTGATTGGCTAAAACAATGGCCAGAGCGCGAATTCTATATAATTTTTGGGAATTCAGCATATTTAGTAATAAAACAATATTTACTCTTTATAAGGTATCACAACGTTACCCAGTTTGCTTGTTTTGTTTATGGGGCAACATTTTTAATTATACTTTTTAGGATATTGGCAAAAAAGTTTGTACTCCAAGCAGATTGAAAAAACAGAGAGCAACAAAAATGACCCGAAAAACAAAGCAAAATAATAAATAAAAAGTATATATATATATAAAAAAAAACAGGTCAACAAAAATGTTGTACAATAAACTTTAATGAATTACAATTTGGCAGCGGAGTAGGAGAGCTCGGGCCTGCAAATCCTTGAGCAAACAGCAAAAAAAAAAAAAAAAAAAAAATGAAGCAAAATGTAAAAGGAAATGAAAATATGTCGACGGAAATGAGCATTGACGCCATTGCTGCTGCTGCTGCTGCTGCTGCTGCTGCTTCTGCTATGCCTGGCGTATTGGGCATTCGAGCTTTAGAGACTTCCAATAGGAATCGCCCAAGTGTGCGTATGTGTGTGTTGGTCAAGCCAAGTTGCCTTGGCGCTGATTTAGCTCGAATAAGACGAGTGGGGCATTAAGTTGCCGTTTCATCATTGTCAACAGTCGCAGTCGCAAACAATAAATATTGTAAACAATTTGTTGTGCCTGATGCTTAATGCCATCTCCCTTGCTCCTGCTCTTGCGCTCTCATTCTCTCTCGCTTCCTCATCTTGCACTGTTTTGAAATGCCAGGGCAAATATTTGTACACGCCCAAAGAGGAAATAAGGTTCCAATGCGAAATCCGCAAAACCCTTCGGGCCCATAAATTATCATCATCAGCAAATGGCTGTGGCTGTGGCTCTTCGCTCTTGGCGTTGCCTCGACTCGCTGCGTTTACAATTTCCAATTGCCGCATACTGTTTCAAAAGCTACACTCACACACACACATACACACACCCAGACAGCCGCCCATTTCCTTCCTACTTGCCCGTGTGCACGTGGCCGATGTGGCATTAATTAAATCAAGCATCATTAAGCGACTGTGGCAGCAGACACCGTGTGGGCGTGGCTGTGGTCCTTGACTGCATTTGGATTTGCCGTCAAGTGGGCGCACAGTGTGCAAGCGATGATTAATTTTGTACTCAGTACCAATAACTCCCTATCGATATTTACATTCAATAATTGCCCAGCCGAGCTTGCCATCTCACTCGCTTAACAGATCACCCTTTATTGAGTATCGCTCATCGCCTATCGATACAGGCGCTCAGCACTTGCCCTTGCTCTAGTTGCCTCATTAAGTCTTGCTTGCCATCTCGCTCACACACACGATCTTAATAAATCGCGCTTGTCCTCTTATTTTTTGCAATCCTCTTTACTTTTCATTCTCTCAGCAGTCGAAGTGTCATGGCCGCTGCATGCGAATGTCGCGCATTGTCTAATATCTCAAATCGAAAGTGTAATTTATTTTGTTTTATTCTGTCGGTTTTTTTTTGACCACAGTGCCGCCGCGTATAATTAAAAATTGCTAGCCTCGCCGCTGCTAGTTACGTACATTTCATTTCCTCAAGTGTAATTTCATGGCATTGCCTAGTGTTTATATCTTAGTGTCTATTAAAATGTGTGTTAAGTGCTCAATTGGACTTTAGAAGCAAAGTAGGCATCATTACTCATCAAGTCTAAGGTTGTTTGGAAGCTGCACAAGTAAGTAGGTAAAATACACAGAGTAATTTCTAATCATTAAAATATTGAAAATATACCAACATACACACTTACGTACATATACATATATGAAGAGTAATGAGTTTGCTCATAAAAGCCTCGAAGAGGACAGGGAAATTTTAAATGCTACTTATGTTTATTATATGCAAATGCTTTTTCCTCTCGCCTAATCAGTAAATATGTGTACCTACGTACACATGCTCATTCGTGATCCTCACCATGCTCATAAATGTCCTAAAGAGATACAGAGCAGAGAGGAAATTGTGTATTTTTTCGGGTCATTTATTTGGAGCATGTATAGATTAAATGCAAGTGTTGCTCATAAATGCCCAAACGCAAGAAGAGAGGCAAAGCTGGGCAATTTTTTGGGACATTTGCTTTAAGCACGTATAAATTAACAGACAACACAAAATTTGTTATTACATTCTTCGCTTATGTGTTTTATATGCAAGTGCATCTTTTTTTCCACCAGCCAATGCATTGTCTTTGCCCAATGTCTGGCAGCTGGCCAAGTCCAAAAAATGTAATAGGGATGCCAGCTGCGCTTGTTGGTTTAAACAACAGCAAATGCACTTCGCAGAGGCATTTTGTTATTGTTGTTGGTCGAGTGGGTTGGGTAAGACCCACTCTCACATACACACACACGACATAGACTCAGACAAACACAAACACACATATGCACACATTGACACATACATGAGTTCGCACTCCCATAGAGAGTGTGAAGCGTCGCCCTTTTCTTTTGGCTTAAATGGGCTTAACGTTCACAAAGTTCTATTTATTGCGCCTCTTGTTGAGGCCATTTTTCACTGGCGAGGATTTCGGCGCGCTTGAACGCTTGAAATTTCATTTGCTAAATGTAATTCGATTTAAGTTTAAGGCATTCGCCATTTGCTTTTAGCCATTTGCTTTTTGCCGTCTACCATTGTAAGAGAATTGCAATGAATTTTTCATAGCTACCCGTTTTTTCCCTTTCCTGCTTCTTTTTCCTCTTCGTCTTTCCTTTCTACTGCAAGCTTTTAGCTTGCATGGTGCAACAGCAAAGTACAGCAGATAAATATAAAATGCATTTCTCTGACTTATTTTATTTGTAGTTGATTTTTGGGTTTCTCTTGCCATAAATAAATATGGCTTAAAGTGCTTTAATTTTCTTCCTGGTACATTTTTAATTTGTGTGGCCAGCCTTTCTTTTTGAGTGTGTTGTATTTACTCAAATATTTTAAGGTATTCCGCATTTTCTATTTGTATTTCAAATAAATTTAAATGGATTAAAATAATTGGAAGTTTTAAAAGGCTTAAAATTGCAAAACTTTGCCAAAACTCGGTGTTGCAATTCCATAAAATTTTCATTTTGGAGTTTTTTACATTTCTAATTTTAAATTTTAAATTTAAAGTTTATGTTAAATGCTTTTGACTAATTTTTTTGGTTGCTAAGAATTTATTGTTTTCAAATTATTTAAATGCTATTATTGGCTGAAACTGGTTTGAACTGTCTCAATATTATTTTAATAAAATATACAACACTTCAACATAAATAAAAAGTTTCATTATTTTAATATTTATTTTAAAAAAATAATATGAATACTTATAAAGATTATTTCAATCGATTATTTTGAATAATTTAGACACTATATTTTTTCCCCTTTGTATGATTCACCCAAAATAAGCTAATAAAATAGAATATCATGCTTTCATGGCTAAAATAAACAAAAAATTAACACTAATAACTCTTTAAAGCTGAAAGCTTATTAAATGCTCGAAATGTTGTTTGAACACCTCATCAACTTGATTGCAATTTCAAATAATTTAACTGAGCTGCTCTTTTGGCTATCAAAATGAATTCATCTAAAGCTCTTCTGTTGCAGCTTGATTGGAAATTTATTTGATCCTGGAGTGTTTTTTATTGCTGTCCATTTTAAGCTTTGTTAAAATATTCATTTTGCTAGTGCTGTATGAAATTTCACTGATTTTGCTGCTCTCAATTAAATTATAAATTTCAAAATGGATTTTTATTTTTTTTTTGCAATTTTTGTGTTTTTCAAAAAGCGCAGCACTTGGCCATCAAAATTGTTTTTGCATATTGCTTTGTGGCGCTCCGCACAAATATGGAAATGGCACTTGTCCATGGAACTGTGTAAAATCAAATTTGCTGACCTTCCCCAAAGTGGTGGGGTTACTGTGCGAGGGCGGAGAGGGTAGTCCGTTGGCTGTGGACTGTGGACTGTGGGTGCAGCCAAAAATTTTGTTGCTTCTCGTATACAACAATCGGCTAAAAATCCACAATGAAAACAACAACAATAGCAGAAAACACAACTGGGCTAAAAGCAATAAACTGGTTGAGTTGGCCAAGTGGTTTTTTGGCATTGCCAGTGTTGCGGTTCCCGTTTGCCCACCACTGCCACGCCCCCGCCATAGCGTTCGTCCGCTTCCTGTTCCAGCACCTCCACCTCCACCTCTACCACCACCTCCACCTCCTCCTGCTCATCTAGCCGTTGTCCGTGCTGAGCAGTGGCGCTTTGCCAACTCAGCAGGCATTTAGTTTTGTGTAAAATGCAATTTGCTACTTTTGCATAAAACCCCCATTGTTGTTGCTGTTGTTGACGCTCATACTCTACAAAGCGTTGATTAAGGGGTATATGAATTTTGTGGCCCTAGCAAATTCAGCAAAAATTTATTATGCTGCATATTTTGTGTTCTATTTTTTTTGTGAATTGCTTCAAATTGAGTTGAGCATTTAATATTCTGTTTGAGAATTACAGTTAAAGTTTACTCTGCAGTCGAGTTTGTTGTTAAATGAACTATAAAAGGGAACTAGTTCTCAAAAGAGCTTGATGAAACTGATTTGATTAAATTTGATGATCATATGTAGAATTCTTGAAAGAAAAAAAATTAATGTAATAAAAAGAAATTAATGAAAATTTAATCGATATGTTTTTTTAAATATACAAAAAAAATTTAAGATAACTTACGATGAGCTCGGATTAGGAAGTTCATCAAAAACTCATTTGGTATAAACTAAATGAAATTAGCTGAGCACCAATTTAGTTAATTTAGATTAGTGTATTAATACATAGTTTCTGTATAAATATTTTGCATATGGATGAAAGCCATGCATATTATAATTTATTTCATAATTCAATTTCAACTCTGCTTTTGGAATGTAATATGCAGTCGCGTAAACCAAACTAAACTTTTGCTAATTAGCGCCCAAAAACTAATTTTAAAAACAATACAAATTATATTTTGTTAAGCTATGCAAACATTTTTCAGCATATAACAATTTTTTGAAATTAGTTGCAGTTTCAAATTATAAATGCAAACTACAGCTGCATAGTTGTAGTTCCATAGCTGCAAGCTAAAATTTTGCGATGTATTTTCAATATGATGGGAATGATGAAAACTATTTTGAGAGCTTTGAACTGGCTTTGAACACCTGCAGTTGCATACATACGTATATATATAGATTTGGATTTTACTGTGGTTAGTGAAAGACAGAAACAAAACCCCAACACATGGCTTTGTGTGCCCTTTGTGTGGTAGACACTGCTGCTTTGCTAGAGGATTATGGCTTATAATAGTATTTTTGGCATACAAAAGATGTTAGTCTGAGAGACAGAGAGAGTGCATGTCTAGACATACCTGAAATTTACGTAAATGGCTCCACTTGCTGCTCGGCATCCAATAAGCTCAAATCGTTGAATGTTGAACAATTTTCCAGCACTTGGCTGCTGGTTGCATTAATTAAATCAAAATCAATGGCCAAACGATGCTCCGAAGAAGATTTGAATTCCTCCTCCTCCTGCTCCTCTGAAACTTTGCTGCAGCAATTCTCTTGGCAGTCGAGAGCATAGCAAAGCTTTAGCTGGGACTGCTCCTGCTGCCCCTGTTGCTCCTGTTGCCCCTGCTGTTGTCCAGCTTGTTGATGCGCATTGGCCAGCAGTAGCATTTGCTCCTCGTAGCTATAGCCATAGTCATATTCATCGTATTCATCCATCAATGAGTGCTCCGAGTAGCTTTCGTCATCATCATCGGCACAATCAAAATATCCGCTCTGTGTGCATGCAGAGTGAGTTTGTGCTAAACTGTTTGAAGCTTTTATGAAAATACTCACCTGGCAATCTAAGCAACGGCAATTATCACAGAGGCTGCAGCTAAGTCCTAGTATGTCTGCTGCCTCCTGGTACAGTTCATAGCTCGAGGACCTGTTGTTAGTCAGTTGCTGTTGTTGTTTATGACTCTCCAACTTCCGTTCGGCTTCAGCTAACTTGTTGTTGCTCTCATTATGCATGCTCCAATTGTTCAATTTATTTTGCTCGGCTCCTGTTTGACTGTTGTTGCTGTGATTTTTCATGTTGCTGTTGTTATCCTTGCTGGCTGAGTGAGCCGCAAATGATGATGATGATGATGCGGCCGCTGAACTGGACGTCGACATGGCTGCTGTGCTGTTCAGCTCCGCCTCATTGCTGTTGGCCCTGAAATGAAAAGTTTATTTCTCGTACTGTATTTAGCTTTTGGTTGACTAAGCTAAACGCCCAGTGCACAAATGAACAGGAACTTAGCATAGCACAGGAAGCGTATACTCTAGGGTGCGTGCGATGGCGGTGGGAGAGTGGGCGCAAATGGGGGAGAGTACTCCAGAAAGAGAGCTATGCAAATTGAAATAAAGCGTAGCATACTTTTCAGCGCAATTGAATTTAAGCCCAACCATAAGTCGATCCATGTAAATACGGCTTTGCCATGTAGACAAGGGAAATTTAAAATGTTTCTGGTTTGAGTTAAATATATAAATGGAATGTAAAGCTATTTAACTTTGTTAACAAAACAGAAAGAGGTTAAGTTGCTTATGTCTATTAAAGGTAATGAATAGCGAATATGAGAGTGGGATTAAAAGAAATGTAGAGCGATTGGAATATCACATCTGCCTAGGGTTTAAGCTCAGTCGGGTCTGCTCGATAAGAAGGTACTTTGTACTTTAGGGTATCTTATAGTCGAGCACTTTTGACTAGAGCATTTTTACAAGGCTTTTTATTGCTGAAAACTGTTCTGAAAATTTTTTTTTAGTATTGACTTAGTTCTAAAAAATGATATATAAATAAAAAAATTTCTTATATTTATATTATATATTTGCTTCAGCTCATTTTTAAATTTTTGAAAATTTATAAATATAATTTTAATATGATTTTGATGGAATTAATTTTGTTTTTGTTATTTTTGTTATTAATGATACACTTGTAATATATTGAAATCCAATCAAGTTCGATATCAATTCATCATCATCATTTCACAAATTTAGCTTAAATTTGATCCTAACCATCTTCAGGGTTGCCACACTGTTGCAAAGTTTGAGCTGCCTTTGCTGGAACTTTAAACCTGTCAACCTGCTTCACCTGAACCATTTAGTAAAAAAATTCGACTGCATTGCAGCACATTAAAAAGTGGAGTTGCCTTCCTCTAAGTGCCTCTTATCAGATAGAGCGAGAGATTAGAGAGAGAGTGAGACGAAGAGAAAGAGACGGAATGAGTAAGGGCCAGGCAAAGGCTGGTCGAGGTGCTGCGTAAAAATGCAAAATAGTTCTAAAAGTGAGCGCCAAAACTTTGGGTAAAATATTTCTTCTTTGGAAAAAAGAGAACGAGCCAAGAAATATGAAGAAAGTTATTTTGGGGCACACTTGAAAGCAGCTTGATGGAGTTGTCGCCAGTTCCCTGTGCTGCCTTGATGAATGTGCGTTGTGAGAATTCTCTTGTAATCAACTGTGAGAAAAAGCTTCAACGCTGTCGACGCTGACTGCATTTCCCAGCTCCCAGAGAGGCTCTGTTCTAATTAAAGTTGCTAATAAATCAAAGGAACTTTGCTGACAGCCTCTGCACCCCCTCTCCTTTTACTCTCTCGCTCCCTCTGCTCCTCTACTCAGTTGCAATTAATGAAATATTCAACGCTTTGCACTTTGACATCATTATTACGCAAGGACTCGCCAACATTTCTTTGGGGAGAATTTATTTTTGGGCCTTTTGTGTGTGAGCGAGAGAGAGAGAGAGGGGGAGAGGAAAAGTAAAAATAGAGGCGGAACAGGAGATGCCAGCGGGCGTGACTGCTAGAAAAGTGCAATTTTTACCTTTTATTATTTCTACTTTTTTTGTGATACTTGTTCAGAGAGTATATAAAGAGGGTATATTGGTTTTAATGAATTGTCAGACGGTTTGGGAGAAATCTGGAATGAAGCTTTACTTGAGATTTATAGAGTTATTGGATAATTGGATTTATAGATGAATATATTTATATAATGTTTTTCCAGTAAATCGTTATATAGATTCCATAATGGGAAACTGTTAAGACTCTTAGGAAATTGGATTGTAATAACAGAATATTTACATATCCTTATTATTCGAAGATATTTCAAAATAAAGCAGCCTACAAAACTATCAAAATTGCCTTGAGACCTTTCTAACATATATTCATATAGGAACTACAATATGACATGCGAATTTTTAAAGTTTCTTCCTTATGGATCATATGGACTTCGTTTATTATAGATCCCTTCAAAATGATTTCCGACCATTTAGAATAAATAAAAAAAAATATTGAAAATAAATTAAACTATGATTGCAAAGTAAAGTATGTTGCAGTCGATTACGCTCGATGGAAATCCTTTTTTGTCAGTTTCTTTTTTTTTTTAGAGTGCTGGCAACTTTTCATGGCTGCCACGCCCAACAATCACCAGCAGCTCGTTAGCTATTGAAATATGATTATTGCACTTCAATATAAATTGTTGCTAGTGCTAACGTTGCTGCTGCTACGGCTGCTGCTGCTGTTGCAAGTTTTGCCAGCTGCCACATGTGTGTGGCATGCATTTTAATCAACTTTATGGGGCCAGGCCAGAGCACTCGACTCTCTGGCAGTTTAGGGTATCGGCATTTTAAGCGCTTCAGCGACTTTTTGTTAGCGCGTTAATTTTTCAATTTCACAAATGGCTGAGCCAACTAAAGCCTGGCCATAGTGCCACGCCCCCTACGTCCGCCCACTTGCACAAAGTTTTGCACGTTGCTAAGCGATGGTGATCAAAACTTATGACTTCATGAACAATGCAACACAACGAAACGGAACGGAGGCACAGCTAAACAGGGGGGCGTGGCAGGTATAGATGGCGTGGAGGAGGGAGGGGGTTGCGCTTGGAGGGTATCTGCCACATCGTGAACAGCTAATTGAATGCGTTTAACAGCCGTCGGAGCGCAGTGGTGATGGTGGGGAGGCGTGGCATCAACGTGGCAACTGGCCTCACAGTTGCAAACAAGTTAACGCCCAAGTTGAGCTCATTTTTGCGGCATAAACTGTCATGAGCGATGCCTTTTCCCAAGGCACAAAACGTGTTGATGATGACCAAAGCATTTGCTCTCTCTTTCTCTCTATCTCTGTATCTCTCTATCTCTCGCTATTTCAATCACTCACCCTCCCTATCTGCTATTGCTGCAAACGCAATACGAATAAATATTAAATCATTGGCTTAAACTTAATATTTATAAGGAATTTGATGAGCTCGCCATTAAAATAGAGTTTATTAGCAATAAATATTAGATTAAAGCGTCGTACGTGTGTTTCATATTGAACAGCAGCCACATTAAGTATTGGTCAGCATTATAAAATGTTTTAATCATATATAAAAGCTTTGGTCTACTCAAATGTTGAAAAGCCTCCGATTTAAGTGTTGTTCAACACTTAAGAATAACATTAAAGTGGTTATTCAGCACTATAAACTAGTTGGGAGCAGACAGAAAAGCTAGCCTTATTTCACTCAGCATTTGCTTTTAACATAGTTTAACGCCAATTTAGGTTAGTGGCGTTGCTCAACACTAAAGAATTGTATTAACATGAAGATAAATTTGCTTGCTGCCAAATGGAAGCGTTTAGTGTTGCTTAACACTAATAAAATCCATGTAACCAGCTCATGACAGTTTCTCTCTCTTTCTCTCTCATTCTATCTCCTTATTTCCTATATTTCTTCTATCATTCTCTATCTCTCTCACTCTCTTTCTATCCTACTCTGTCATTTTCCTCTCACTCAGTCTACTATAATTGCTTTCTATTTCATAGCTGCTATCGATAAACTTTCAATTCGATAAATCATTTGACTCTCGATTGCTTTCGTTGCGCTTCCTAGAATTTCCATATAGCCTTCACTTGGGCCAAGTTTCCTATCTGCGTGGCAAACTTAATGACAAAGTTGTTGCCATGCTCGCGCATATTTTGCCGATAGATAGTGCGCGTGAGGCAGAGAGCGACTGAGTGGGGCAATGAGAGCGACAGAGTGGGAGAGCTCTCGCCCAATTCCGTTGGCCCAATAAACTTGTGCCCCATAAAAAGTTGCCCACAATTTTAGCACCGCAATATGCCTTATAACATTTATGAGAATTTATAAGTTTTTGCCACAGAGTACTGAGCGGCAGCGGTTGGTGGGAGGTGGGAGGTGGAGGTTAGGAAAGGGCAAAGGCCACACCTACCTGCTGGGCTGCTGTGTGGCGCCACAAGCTTCCGCTTCTTCCGGTGTCAGCAGCTGCTGCTGGTTGCTGCGCCATTTTTCTTCTTCGAGAAATTTGAGAAACTTTGTCTTCTTGGCAATAAGCGTTGATTTGACATTGGTGCACTTTTTCCTGTTGGCCACAGCGCCAACAGCTGCTGCTGCTGCTGCCGCTGTTGTTGCTGCTGTAGCTGCAACTGCTGCACCCTCGTGCGTGTCGCACCGGCATCTATGTAAGCCTGCTGCTGACAGGCAGCCATTGTTATGACTCCCAACTGGGCAATTGTTGCTGTTGTTGTTGCTGTTGCCACTGCTGTTGTTGTTGTTGTTGCTGCTGCTGCTGCTGCTGCTGTTATTGTGGCTCTGGTGCTGCTGATTTCTGTGGCTGACATTTTGGCAGACATCACCAATGGAAGCCACATTGCAATTGAACAATTTCTGCAGCGCTGCCGTTGCCGGTGAACACATTGCGGTTGACATTGATGTAGCGACCGGATTTGTTGTTGCTGCTGTGACAACAGCAACTGTTGCTGTTGTTGCTGCCGCTTGGGCTGCTGCCGCTGCTATTGCAGCTGCCGTTGCTGACGACCCGTTGGCTGTGCCGAAACTTTTGAATTTATGCTGCAAACTGCAGGCGGCACTCGAGCAACTTGCCCCAATTGAATTGTTTGTCCTGTTGCCCGTTGTCCTGCTGCTGCTGCTGCTGCCGATGTTGCTGCCATTCATTTCACGCCCTGTTGCTGCTGCCGTTGCCCCAAAGTTCTGCAAACACATCGACACTTGACCAATCCAATTCGACCTTACAAGATTTTTGCTGAATAAAACTTACGCCATATGCTGCATTGTAGCCGGCATTGAGTACGTAAATAGAATTTTGATTGCTGCACTGATAAACCATATCGTCCATTGTTGGAGCTGTGACTGTAAAATAAATATATAAATAATATGTCAATATACATGTATTTAATATATTCATATAATAATATTTACTGAAGCTTGACTTGAATAAAAATAAAAACAATATTTTATTTGACCTAGTAAAATAATATTAATGAAAAAGAGTTCAGGATTTTAACGTATAATTCATATAGCCAAAGATATACATATTTGCTAGGAAATATTCATAAAAATCAGGGAAAGTAAATATATTGTTTTTTTTTTATTATTAATTATAATCAAAAAAGTGATGAAAGTCGTTTCTTGTCGGAAGTATTTAAATTTAAATTAAATTAAATTATTTTATTTTTAACATTTTTTTAACTGAAGTATTTAAATTTGTTAAACTTTATTAATTGTTTCTATTTAAAATGTAAATTTCATGCTTTAACAAAAGCTATTCAGTACTTCTCAAGTTTTCTATAATAA